TTAAACAGCTTGTGAAGTCTCAGCTTGTGCTCTCCTCTTTCTTGTCTTCCCTCTGTCCCAAAGTCTTTGATAAGCATCTTTCCCTGTAACAAAGTCTCCTGGCAGTCATCGTTTTGCATTCCTTATAGTGAGTCTACATTGCAACATGCTTGCTTTTGTGATGTTCTCATTTGCAGAAGTGGAATTCCCGTTTATTTATTTTTAAATCCTTGGGCAATCTCTCTCAAAAAAAAACAAAACAAAACAAACCCAAACAAAAAACTGACAGCTGCTCTAAAGCCTAAGTTAAGTTTCTTTTTCCCTGCATAACTGACCTAAATCCAGTGTTCTCTCATGTGTCTGCCCGTTGGGCATTTTGTCTGTTTGTCGTCATCTGCAAGTTCTTTGTTCAGTGCAAAACGCCCAGTTGAAAGCCTTGGGGGCTATTGGCCAGGGATAGCATCTGAACTTTGTCCTCACATAAAGAGCTGGATTGTTTAATATTTATTTTTAAAATTGGTATTCAACATTTGGACTGAATATCTCTAGTTTCAGTACGTTAGTGTGCTGGGAATGCTCAGCTTCTTCAGGGACATCTTGAAGTATTTGCTTATACACCATTACAGAAGAGCCTTGCTACAAAGCTGTACGTGTTTACCATTCACTGATGAGGCTTGAGATCTTCCTCTCAGCCAAAGCTACAAAAGAAGCATAGCTTTCCTTACAAAATGAAAGAAGGGAGAAGATTTAAGGACAACCATTACATGTATTTAGGCCTTTTTTCCCCACTGTAATTGCACAGAGTAGTGCTCAGTTATTCCTCAAATAGTAGCACAGTTCTTGGGAAGTCTCATGTGCCTTGATCATTCAGTCTAAATTTCTTTGCTGTGCTAAAAAGAGTTTTAGTGTTACAAAGAAGCCTGAGCTCTCACAATACTGGTTTCACAATACTTTCTGTGGAAAGTCCCATGTGCTCAGGGCAGTACTCTATGCTGCATGCCTGGGTACTTTAGTGTACAGGGTGTACGTAAGTGTATCTGAGGAGAGGCCTCTGGTGGCCCTTTTGCAGAAGAGTCTAGTCAAGAAGTTGGGTCAAGTTGCCCCAAGGCACTCTTCCTCCACACTGGATGAGAGAGAGAGGGAGTTAGATGGTCAGGTAAGACAGTGGAGGGGGTTCAATTTGTATGGAAGTGTCTGGACTCACTAGAGCCATCGCCCCTCTAGTCCCTGAAGTCCAAGGTCTCCAGTCTCATCTGTCCCCTGAGATCCCTGCAGCCACCTTCTCTCTCTTCAGTGCTCTGTCACGTAGCCGCGTTTGTAGATCTTCTCTTTTTCTTTCCACTGTCTTGGCAGTGCAGTGGATTTAAAGGATGCCACTTCGCTCATGACGCTAATGGGGTCTCAAAGAGGCCATATGGTGCAGTTGTTATCGAATTTCATTAAACACACATGCAAAACCGTGCTAACAATAACATTAGTTAGGCTGTAAAGTTAGGAAATGCCAGAAGGAAGTTTCCCTGAGGGCAGTTTTGGGAGTTTATGCATAGTGTTAGTTTTCCTTAACAAGATCACATTCTACCACCACTGTCCCTTTAAGAGATGGAGAATACATCTCTTTAAGATGGAGAATACAGTTTAACACACAGTATTTAAACTCTGTCCTGAGGGCAGAAGTATTGTCTTCCGCTGGTTATGTACTTCATCAACATTCATTTGCTGTCATTAGAGCCCCGTGACATGGAGCATTATTACCTCTGTTGTATGGAAGGGAATTCAGGCATGAAATGAAACCAGCAGTAGCACTGATTTGGGGTGCCAGTTTCAGGGATCGTAGAACTGAAACGCGGATGTGGTTTGATTTCCAGAATAGTTTGCACTCAGAGTACTTTCTGTTTTCAGTGCCAAGGCTAAGACAGTTGGGCAAAATCTGACTGCAGTCTCAAAGGAACAAACACTGGTAATCACATGGCAAAGGTTTGTTCCAAGTGTCTGGTGCAGCGCTCTTTGGGGACATTGGGGTGTCTGCAGGGCTATAGGTTCCTTCTCTGAAGTGGCGTCCAGCTGCCATAGCTGAGGCTCTTTCTGTTTCCGAACTTCCATCACCATTTATTGTTGAGCTTCACTAGCCAGTGAAGCAGTGGGCTGACAGACAAGAGTCTCCTTCCTTTCCTACAACAGCATCTCCAGAGTGGGTCCTGAGCTGTTGGTTACATAGCTGAGAGAGAGGACTTTATGACCAAGATCAGGGGTGAATCTCCCCTCAGTGTCTGTGTGTATATGTGCGCACACGTACGGTGAGTGTGAGCAAGCATGAAGGCAAGAAATAATGGTCCACTTGGTGAAGGTTTCGTATGTAAATACCCTGTCACCTACACTGCATCCATATGCATGGCCCAGGTAAATGCATAAACAAAAATCCTACTGGCAGTTCTTGTGATTTTTCTGAAAGTGTCTTATGTAATAAAGATGGTCATTTGATCCCTTCTTGTGCACAGCACCTCCAGTTGCTGCTGCTGACACGTACCGCTGTTTTGTTCATGATTTCCTCTGTTTCAACTCTGGTGACAATTTTATTTGGGAAGAGGGTAAGTTGCAGCATCAAAAGATCCAAGTTAAGATTAAACAGCACAGTTGGGAGATGCTCCTAATCAAAATGGGACAGTTAACCATTCAGTTCCCCAGCAACTTTGGGGAGGGCTAGGACTGGTACTGTTGAACATCTTTGGAAGGTGAAAATTAAGAGGTGAAGACTGGGTGGGATGAGGGAGAAGAGAAAACTTCTACCTCGGTCCTTCTCACCTGCCATCCTGCCAGCACAATTTCTACATTTCCGTTATGAAGCAACCAGGTTACTGGGCTTTTGGGCAGCAAGAGTCCCACCTCTGAGATGAGCTACTTGCGGTGATTCCTATGGCTTTTTCCCTGCAGAAGTCTCCTGTCAAACATGTTTCGTACAGGATACATTCAAACCAATCGCTTGGCCTGATCTCCAGCTCATGCGTTCCCTCAAACCAGCAAGCCAGTGGCAATGCTTCTCCACTCATTCTTCATACAGCCTGCTTTCTAGTCCTTCATTATATTATCTGCTCAAAGCCATAATTTCTGAATTGGAGAGCTTTTTTGGTTTTTCTCTCCTTTTTTACCTCCACTTTTGTGCCTAGTGCACATTAGGCATAAAGAAGAGAGTGAGGAGGCCAGTGCATGCCCCACGTGTCTGTCTTCTTTGCCTGGATAAAAGCTCAGTCTCAAACCTGGAAATATTTCTCAGATTGTTTTTCCCATACCACCCACATCTTTTTTCCATGAGAGGAAGCTGCTTATGTTGAATGCTGTGGGAACCAAATTGTTACTTTATCACACAGTGAGGAAAAAAAGTGCTAATTAAACAACATGCTTTTCTGAAACCAGATGATACTTTCATTTTCTAGAAAGAGGAAGCTTAATATTAAATCCCTTCGTCTCTGCGTGGTGAAACCAGAAGAATTGCCAAGAAGTTCTCTAATTTCATTTGCATAAGCCTTTTTCTAGCTACTTTGAAGAAAGTTCAAAGCAAAATGTTTGGTTCTCTGTGTTGGAGTACCGGTAGGGTAAAGCTGTTCATCTGCGTATGATAGTGCAGTTCCTTTCTTTGGATCTTCCCTTTCTAAACAGAGAACCCAGGCTGATGCGGGAGTCTGAAGGCCGAGTTTGGCTCCAGAGGGTTTGAGATGGGCTGATGGACCAGCTGCTCTGGGCTGGTGGCACGCAGAGGTGGTTCGTCAGCACACAGCGGTGCTTCAGCGGTTTGGGACAGGTGCTGAAGGATGTTCTTCTGAACACGAGAGTTTGAACATGCCTGAAATCTTGCCTTGGCTAGGTCAGTAGCCCAGCTGCTTCTTTTCTGTGCCTGTTGTTCCTCTTACCCTGTGCCGTCTGGTTCCTTGCAAGGCAGAGATCTGCTTCTTCCTCAGATTTGCTGACTGAAAGTCAGGTTCATCTTTTCGCAGTTAGTTTCTCCTGGGCTTTGTGGTGTCTAGGGACTGCTACTTGCCTAGATACCCTCAGTAGATCCTTCGCTTCTCTCAGCTCTGCAGTTAATGAAGCAGTTGTGCTCACAGAAAAAAAAAAGCAGGAATGTGCCAGGACTTTCAGAGGTGCTTTTTGCTGGGAAAAACCTGGTGCCATCCCAGACTCAGATGACGTGCAGCCCAGCTGCATTGCTCTGTTGCTTACAAGGGAGATGAGAATAAGGAGGGTGATTCTGAAGAAGAGTTGGAATTGTCAGTATCTCACAGGTATCAAGTACCTGCTTTGTGCAGGCATGGGGCTACAAGGAGTCATGGGAACTCTTAATCAGCGTGACAGCAAGTGGATGGTCTGCTTTGCTTAACCAAAAGAGAACATCGCTCTTAAAACGGGTCGATCAACATGCAGTGGCACCCCATGTGGGGGCTATTTTTGTTTAGAACCGAAATGACATTTTAATTTCTTGATGGGTGAAGCCCATTTTACTGGATATGTGTATCCAAATTGGATGATCATGTCATTTAGCTAATCCACATTAGTTTAAGGAAAAGAAACCACATCTTTTTTTAGTTTCTCAAACATCCCTGCATTGAGGTGTCCTCCACTGTAGCTCTCTGCTCATCTCTGTACATGTTCACTTAGTTCTTACTGCACAGTCTCCCTGGCTGGCAGGTGTTTGATGGGCTGGCTCTATGCAGTATGTGTTCATTTTCTTCTTTCATTCTACTTCTTGTAACAACAAAGCAGAAAGCCAGAATTCCTCACTACAGGGAAGGCACCTCACTAATAATTAATCTGAGACCAGTCACCACAAATGCTGGTAATGTGTGTGTTAGTGGCTGACCAGGGCTCCTGCTTGAATATTTCAGCTGTGCTCTCTTCACTGGAGATACCTGACTGAAGATACTGAGGCCATCAGCAGACACTGAAGCCCTAAACCCATAGCAGAAACGAAGGTTCCAGTCCTCCTCAGCTACTGGGCAAGCCTGCTAATTAGGAGCATTAGCAGTCTGGTACCCTCTTATGCAGTCTGACCATGCAGAAGGACAGAAGCTCCTTCTGTACCCTTTGGTTGTTGTGTACCATGTTTTATTTATAGTCTGGGACATCTAAGCAGTGTTAATTTTTCATGTGTTCTGTTTTCTCTGTTAGGTTATGGAAGATCTTTTCAAGACAGCAACAAGCACTGTGCTCTCCAAATGTCCCCATGATGTTGAGCTTTTTCATAAATACATAGCTCCTACCCAGAAGGTAATAAATGGGACAAGAAAGAGCTGCAATCTTGTTACACGTTTGAGGGGCTCTTGGCTATAGGGAGGCTTAATTTTTTTTTTTTTAACTGTGTTTTCCTATGTTAACAAACTATGAAGAGCTAATAGTCAGCCTGAGTTTAAGCGATTGTTCAGGCCAACACAGAGAGGACACTCAGCTTTCTGTAGCTGGTAGCAAGTGTGGTAGAACTGTAGCTGTCATATTGTCTAGCAGCCTCTGAATCGTCAGCTCCAAAAATTGAGTATCCTTTTAGCACTGAGTGGCCGGGAGTGGATTTTGACCCATATCTAGATCACAATGCAGACCTAGAAATTAAAACTTGAGGGAGGTGGCTTTTCTGAGTTTCCTCTGGGCCCCTGAAACCTTGAGAGTAGCTTTACATTTTATTTTTTTTCTTGTTTTGACCAAGGACAGGTTGGAACAAATGCTGAAGAACAAATTTGTGACGTAAGTACTTCTATTTCAAAATGATCTGGAAGAGAGCTTTTGGCGAAAAGGTTCCTATTTTGTATAAGTTCTTTTTCTTTCCTAACTCAGTGTCTTCTAGGTTAGCATAATGTCATTGTAAAAGCGTGAATTGCAGTTCCCTTTGTACTGTTTGCCAGTTGCCCTTCATCTGTGCATGAGACTGACATCTGAATTTGCTGGCCTTTGGCTTTTGCTTCCCTGGACAAGATCCTCTTTCTCTAAGGGTATCTTCCTTCCAGCATACATCTGCGCAGGGATTTGCTCACTATCTTGCTTGGTTTTGGTTTCGGTGCTCTGCCTTCCTTCACACTTTCACTCCAACAGCTCCCTTTTTATGAAACTATCTTTCGATATTTGAAAATCCCAATTGGTTTTCTATTCTGGTTGCTTGTGCGATGCCATTTCCCAGTTCTCTGCATCCTAAAGAACTGAAGAGGTTTGGTTTCCCTCCTTGGCCCCCAAGAATATCTCTCCTTCCCTACTCTTGCTTGTCACTTCAAATAGTGGTGCTCTCCATCCCACAGAACATCGTAGGGCTGCTCAGCCCGGCGCTGGTTTTCCTGTTCAGCAGCTACAGCCACGCTTGGGCAGCAGGATCATTGGTGAGAAATCCTCCCTGTGCCTTGTGCGTGCACAGATGCCATGGGAGACTGCAGTGAAGTCATTCTCTCCCCATATCAGACCTTCTCTCTTTGGCCCTAACTGATACTCCTGAGAGGACAGAGCTGCACTCAGCTACTCCCATGATCCAAGGCAAAAGAAAGTGAGTCAGCCCATCTCTCTCTCCCTCTCTGCCTCTCTCTT